TACAGTAGTATAATATACAGTTATAATCTTTTTAAATATCTGTTTATTATTAAGGTTATCAGTCACTAATTCTTTTTTTAATTCCATGGAGATGTAGTATAGTATTTTAATTCAGTTTGATATAGCAAAAATAGTTTAATGCCATTAAAAATTAAATGATTCAATAATGTTTCAAATTTTTAAAAGATGTGTTTTAGTAAAAAAAAAATTGCAATAAAAATAGACCAACTGTAATATTGACTTAGCTTTATTAAAGAAATGTATTTTTTTAATGAAAATAAATAATTATGGGGGGGGGGGGGGTTCTATTTGTAACAGTGTGGGGAGGAAGGGTAATCATTTTAAAAAGTGACATAATATAAAGACAATCCCTTCCTATTTTTAAGTAAGTCTAAATAGTATTGGAGAGTATTGGCGCTACCAGTGACTGACAATATGCTATGTTGTTAGTAGTATTGCATTAACAAGTTTGTAGCTACTGTCAAAAAATTTGGGTTAGAGCCATGATAGGACATCATTTAAGGTAAGCATTGAAACTAGCTAGTTATATTAGTATTTAGTTTACTACTAGTAGCAATCTTAATTCCATTGATGTGATATTAAGGGACACACATATAGCACATCAATTACCCTTGGATTAATAATATGTTTATTTTATAGCCTTCTGATATCATGAGTGGTCTAGCTGTAGAACATGAAAATGCTAGCCTGAAAGTCTTGAGTTCAAATCTGGGTTCAAGTCAGTAGAACAGGTGAACTATACTTCACTTGACAATCAGGTTATAAAAGGGAACTTTAATACTGATATACTTAGATTATAACAGAGGTGTAGGCTAAATGTGTTGAGAAGTTGTAACCTCTACTCCTCACAGACCCCACATGGAAAATTGTGAATGCCACAAAGACCACTAATAGTGGCATAATTTATTTTTTTTAAAAAGAAGACTGACATGCTTATGTCATGTGGAAAGAGTGTCAAATCATTGTAAAGTGGTGGATGACTAAAATAAAAAAAATAGAAATGATATGAAATAAAATTCAGTCATGGACACATATTGATAGCAGAGATTTATAGATATATAAAGATGTATCCTAGATGTATAGATACAGATTGTCATATAGAGATATAGCAGATGGAAGGGGAAAATTTTTGCCTCAACCCATGACCAATTTAAATATTTTTGGCTAGTTACTTGATAATACTAGACCTAGATTCTAATTTTATCATTGCATTAGATCTATCATTAATTACCAAATTAAGATAAATATACATAGTATACTTAATAGTTAATACTACTATAATAACTATAGGCAGGCCCTACTAGTGCCTAATCTAATACTGCATTTAAGTTAGGCGAATTGAATACTGAAATACTTGTCAATACTTGAAAATTGAAAATACAAAATAGCCTATCAATTTTTTTTTTTAATAGGACCTAACCTTTGCTGTATCTTCCACTGCTCCAGCTTTGTCAGCATCATCTAGTCTTCTTAATTTGTCTTCATAAAGATTTCTAAATTCCCCCATAAGAGTATGCATCTGTCCTTTTCCATTATTTGGTCTATACCCCGAAGATTGTCCTGATCTTCCATTTGCAGTGTCTCCCCCTCCTCCTCCATGGTTGCCAGGGGCAAGCGATGGAGAGGCTAGGCGATTACTCGTTGAGGTTGACATAGTATAAGCGTACCTAGTTGTTATTTGGTAAAACTAAAGTGTCTACTATGTTCATTAACTTCGACATGCACAATTGCACATCGAAATGTAAATCTAAACTAGTTTTGAAAAAATATCCGAAAACAATAACACACTATCAGCCATCCTTCCACACAATCAGACCGGTGAAGACTTGTGTTTACAATCTTTTACGATTGGATGGATGTGTCACATGGCTTTGTTTATAATCAAAATTTTTATAAAAACTGTCGAGAATGGTCTGCTACGAATTAATTTACATAATGTTAGAGATAAGTTGCGGGCTTCGTAGGTTGATTCTAAAAGATCCTCTTGTTAAGATTGCGAATGTGACTCAAAGTTACATTGATTTTTAAATTAATAATAAAAAGTGTGTTATGTTGAGCCAGCTATTCGAATCTTTTTACATCTATAAAATGAGAAGATCAAAGAAAATTAACCCAATAATTTAATTTTGCGGTTATTTCCCTTTCAACTTGTATTGAGAAAAATACATGTACTGTTACAAAAAAAATTAAAATCGCTCACAAAAGTATCCCCTTAAAGTTATTGACCTCGCATAGTACGTTTTATCTCCACTTTATAGATACTCATAATAGTTTTTTGCATGAACATTGAGTCTGGTCGAGTGAAAGTTGTGGATTGTAGCTTTCTCTCCGCTCATTTATCTTACATTAAAAAAACAATCACAACCTCTAGACGTTATAAATAAATAATGCCTCACACCATGGACAGAGTTTCTTCCAGGCATCTCTTCGCCCCCCCCCCCCCCCACCCAAAAAAAATCTACCGCCCTCCCCCCCCCCCCCCCCGAACGAAGTGAAATTTATATAATTTATATAGAAAATATATACTTTTAAGTGTCCGCCCCCCCCCCCCCGAAGAAAGTCTACCGCCCCCCCCCCCCCCCGAAAATTTCAAGTGCCCCCCCCCCGGAGAAAAAAGTCTGGAAGAAACACTGACCATGGAGGGTATTAGGTGCCTAATTTTAGTGACCATGTGATAAAAAGAAATTGAAAAAAAAAACGCTACCACGTATTTGTTGTAATTCTTAGAAACACAAATTAAAACAATTTCTTTCTTGAATTTCCAGGTTGTGGCGAGGTGAGGGTTTATAGCTTTAAGAGTAATTGTAGTATAGGGTGGCTGGGTGTTAGTAATGACATGCAATAAGGGTAGTGGAGTGGGGGGGGGGGCGTTGCTGGCAGTGCATGCCGTTTGTCATAATTTGGATCACACAGTGGTTCTACAGTGGATCACCACAGGTTCTACAGCCCAGGTAGGGCTTTGGTCTGCTTCACCATATTTCTCCATTCATCAGGCGCAACCAATATCTTCTTTTAAGTCTACACTCCAAGCTGTCGTATAGGTCTTCATGTCTGCATTTTATTCTCTTCTTCTCCCTTTGTGATCCCTGGGAAGAAAAAGCCTTCAGCCAACTGCTTTCCATAAGTGTCCACGACTGAATTTCATATATTTTCTATTATTATTTTTTAGCGCAATTTCCATACGGACAATTGCGATTATTAACTCGTCATTTCTGGATGGATGTATGGATGGATGTGTGTCCGCAGCTTGAAGTCGTATCTCCTCCTCAACGAAGCAATATCGAGGACTAGTTCCAAAAGCAAATATGTTAAGCAAGTTCCGAGGATGATTGTGGGCCAAATAATTCCCGGAATTCCTTCCTGGATTTCCCGGAAAAGCCAAAAAACCTCGAAAAAAAAATGCCGTTTTTGGCCTATATCTCGGCAACCAGACCACTTAGCGACTTGAAACATTTACCAATCGATTCCTGCCATAATTTAGAACAATATTGCCAAAGAAAGTTTTCAAAAATATCCTTTCGTTCGGTCACAAAAAATTAATTAAGGAAATCGCGCTTAAATTGTCACTAGACTTTTTATTAACTTGTTTTAGTTATCTACCACTTTACAATGATTTGACACTCTTTCCACATGGCATAGCAGTCTTATTTAAAAAAGAAATTCTGCCACTATTAGTGTTCTTTATATATCTAAATTCATTTTTGGTTAGCTCGTAGTCTCAATCTATTTTTGCCGTGTCAATCTATCAGTCAGGAAATAAACATGTCACTTGCATGTCCGCAAATTTAGAATATCTCTCTAAGACAGTTAATATTTTCATTTAAAATTTGTTTTAACTAAACATCTGCTCTATTCCATAAAAAAATAAACCGGGAGTGATCTCCCCTAAACTTTCTCGAATATTCTTATATAAAATAACAGGGGATGGGAACTCGGGCTATAGACATGATTTTTAATCCATTTTAAATACTTAAAGTTTTAAAAATAGAATAAAATCTCGTAGACAAATTAATTGCACACCAAGTGAACGCCAAATAAAAAAGCGCATAATGGTGCGCAATATTATTAGTACTTTTAAAATTTACATTAGTTTTTTGAGAAATCGGAAGTAGCGTAAATACTACTTCCAGTCAACGGAAATGACTCAAAATTTAATAGAAGGTAGAGAATTAGATCTTTTACTTACATATGAAATTTCATTTATCTATCTGAAATAGTACTCAAGTTATAGGCTTTTGAAAAATTCAAAGTAGGAAAAGTACCACTTCCGGTTATCGGAAATCGCTCAAAAGTTGATACGGATCTACGATTTTGATTAAATACTTATATATGAAATTTCATCAACCTAGCTGTAACGGTACTCAAGTTATCGTGTTTACACACGGACAGACAGACACACAGACACACAGACACACAGACAGACACACAGACATACGGACAAGATTGCAAAATTATGTTTTTCCGTATCAGTGAGGTGTGAAACGTCGAGATTTGTAAAAATCTCGATTTTTTTTTTTTGCACGATTACAAGACTTTCTCTATACTTCGTATATACGAGAAAGTAATGAATGTGTGGTGTCAGGAACAGATCTGGCGAAGTCCACAAAAAGTGCACGATCGAAGTGTCATTATATAGTGTTAAAAATAGTTTAAATACACATTAAGTACTGTAAGAAAAAATACTTTTTTTGTAATATTTCTGTTCTCATTCCTTTAACACGATATTTTAATATTTATAACTAGACAGAAATTTGATGGAGCTGATTAACTATGAGCATCCTTTTTAAACAGGATACTGTTGCAGGAAGTGAGATAATGTTAAAGGATTTTTATCATTTTTTCTCAACACCAATAGAGTTCCTCGTTTTAATATTCGCCTATAACTGTAAAACTGTGGATCACATTATATAGTTGCTGACTGAGTTCAGACTAATCATTATAGTTACACAAACACAATAGTTTAGAGATTCAAGAAGACAGCTTTTAAAAGAATTCTTTAATAAGTTAAAAGAAATATTTTGTAATAATATACAAAGTGCAAGTAAAATAAATAAGATATGTGTCATAATATACAAATATTTCAATAAGAAGCTTCAGTCAAATCGACCACATCTAATCTAATACATTAGGAAAAATAACCAATCAATTTTTACAGATCCAGAAAATAAATATATTTAGCTTTCTTTAAATAAAATGTTGCAAATTTTGATTCAGCTTAGATAACCATTTATTCATTTATATTCATTTAACTTGAGAAACATATTTAAATACAATGATAAACATATTTATTTTGTATACAATGTAAATAAACGTATGCAGTCAGATCATGAAGAAAATACTTAAGCAATAGATCTAATATATATAGTCAAATCATTTGTAAAAAATGTTATACTATACTTTGTTTCTTTTACTTCTTTTAGATTGTTACACATACCCCTCAGTTAAAATTAAAAATGATAATGAATATTTCTCAATCATCTGTGTTTAAATACAAATAACAGTAAAAAATGTACCTTCAAATAAAGAAAAGACCTTAACTGTATGTATTACTGAAGTAAAAAAATAATTTAAATAGAAAGCAAAAGAAAGTAAAAAAAAATAATTTAAATACAAAGCAAAAGAAAGTTAAAAAAAAAAATTGAACTAAAAATCCACGGATTGAAATCTATCTGATGTAATATTTGCAAGTTTATATAACATATTGCTTGATTTAAATTCATAATCATTCACACAAAACTTGAATTTAAAGCAACATCATTCGTACCAAATGTGTATTAATTCAATCCACAATAACATCAGCATAAGCACAATCAGTTTCTATAGCCAAGCTGTATTTGCCACCTTTGTATTTGCTTGTAACAATACGAAGCCAACCTTCTTCCCCCTGGAAATGACAAAGTAATCTTCATTTATATTTTAAGCAAAACATTTTTATTTTCTAAAATGTAACTTTTTAATTTACTTGATATTAAACATCTTAAGATTAGGAAAAAGAGCACTTACCCAGAAAGTACCCCACGAGTTCCTTACAACCCAGAACTCAGTACCATTTTCCACTCCCCATCCTGCAACTGATACTATGTGGTTGATCTGTGATAAAAAATGTACAAAATCATAAATGTGAATACAAAATTAAATGTAATCTGCAATTATAAGTATAATGTTAACAGTTCATAAAGAGGTGAATGAAATATTTTATCGTTAAAGAAAATACACAGTTTAATGAGAGTTAAAAGGAAGATTGTTTGAAAAATAGACATAAAGTGATTAGAATACTTACCATTGGAAGCATTTTATACTCCTGATATATCCCACCAGAATAGTTCTCTAGCTTATCTGTTGCCTCAATACCACAACTGAAGAAAATAATGGTGGTGCTCTTAAACTATTAATTAATGTGCCATGTTATTTTAGTTATGATAACTAGTTACTTTAAAGTAGCATTAAGTAAGGGTCTTACCTGATGGGGCCATTTTTCATAATCTCTGCCATCATGGCTTCTCTGCCAGAGACTGGGCCATATTCAGAGACTTTCCATCTCTTGTAGTTTTTTACAACTGCACATTTTCCAAATGTTGTACAAGTCATGCACTGGTTCATTTCATTACACTCTGCAGAAATAAAATGTGAATCTTTAAAATTCTCAATGAAAGTGTGTGGGATTCAAAATAAAATGTAATAAATTATTACAAAAGCACAACTTAAGACTGAAGTTCAGAAACAATCTTTTCAACTGTGGCAAAACTAAATAGATGAATGTAGAAAAGAAAATTTTCTGTTTTTAATAAATTAAAATGCAACTTTTAGTACAGTATCAAAAGCTTAAATTTATGCTCTAATCATAAACTTACTTCCATCTGCAGCTTGATAATTGTTACAACTCTCATCAGGAATTCCTTCTTTATGAGCATAGCTATAAACTAATTTGTCATCACCACCATGACATGAGCCTGCGTCAGCACAGTCAATTACCTCTTGAACAGACAGATATGCACTTGGCCAGGCACCTTTGCGTTTTATATTGATTCTATCAGCCATTGAGCTGGTTGATCCCATAGCCCAACATGAACCACAATCTGAGAAAAATAAACACCTAGTTGTGTGTATTAAAAAAATAACAGCAAGATAAGGATTTTTGCCTACAATTTAAGCAAACATTTACTAAATACTGGGATTATGATTTAGAAAAAAAAAATATTTACATTGAGGGATATGTTGATTACGTGTTGTGCTCACATAGTTGGTGCCATTTACATTACGCCAATCAAATGCCTCTGGTAAATTTGCTATCAGCTTTGGATCATCAAAGGGTCGAGCTTTCATTCTAGGTTTTTATTATTAAAGCATTGATAATTAGCCCAATTTTTATAAATTACAATTGTACAATAATTAGTTAATAGTAAAATAAACAGACCTAACCATACTTCATACCAGTCTAAATTCATATATTATTAAAATACTAATTAATACTATGACAGACTCTATAGATAGGGCCTATAATTTGGGTGTTGGTAAATTGCGAGAAGCTTAAAGGCAAGGCAGTAAATTGCGAAAAATACCGGAAGAATCACAGATAAATAGCAAGATACAATTTGCTAGACACTTTTTTGTTTTATGCTTTTGGTGGTTTTTTCTCCAGATGGGCAAAAAGACAAGGTGTAAAATAAACAAGTGTTGTATGTTGTGCTTTTTTAAAAAAAATTTTTTGATCTAGTTTAGATTTTTAAAAATATTCAAACGTCTTAACATTATTGTTCCTATGATTGTCTGCTCACTTTTATTTGTCTGCGAAAGAAAATACAAAACTTTGATGGGGTCACAGTCAGTGCATTTAAAGCTTTAACATAGGTCATAGCCTGAGCAATAGCAATGACAAATATGCCTGAGGTGATAAATAGGAAAACCAATACCTTCCGAGCTTTAACACTGTGTATTGTTGTACTTGTAGAAAGTGTAGAATTATAAATAAATTTTAAGTGTTATTTTTTTTTATCAAGTAATTTTAATTAGGCCTAGGCCTATAAAAAATGTTTAAAAATTAACAAAAATTATATTTTAAAAAAAAAAATCATAGGCGGCAGCAATAATTCAAACTTTCTTTGCAACAATACAACATATGTTTGCAGTGGCAGCGGCTTAGACAGTGATGTTCAAAGGCAATACATTGTGCGGTGTTCAACCCAAATGAAAGAAGTTGATGAATCATCAACACATCTAGTGGCAGAAAAATCGGAAGTTATGACAATACAATGTCTGCATCAAAGTTCACTGAATGAACTTCATTGTGTATGCAGTACGCCTAATGTATAGATATAGCGGTAATCTATCGTTTTAAGTACGTAAAATCGCAGGCGACTAGTAATGTGAAAAACAGGTGACTCCTTAAATTTTAATAATTATTTCACATTTTGAGGAGGATTTATGTTTTGAAAAATACAAAAATGTTTCCTTGTTTCATTTATGTACCTGCTTTTAAACAATTGCATTAAAAAATTTCAGTAATACATGAAGACTAGAGATGTTTCCAACAGATGCAACCATGCTCATTTACAACAGCAGCCATCTTGTTTATTTTTACTTTCTCGTATATACGAAGTATAGAGAAAGTCTTGTAATCGTGCAAAACAAAAAAAAAAACATTTTAAACCTCACAGATACGGAAAAACATAATTTTGCAATCTTGTCCGTATGTCTGTGTGTGTGTGTAAACACGATAACTAGAGTACCCTTTCAGCTAGGTTGATGAAATTTCATATACAATTATTTTATCAAAATCGTAGATTCTTATCAACTTTTGAGCGATTTCCGATAACCGGAAGTGGTACTTTTTCTACTTAGAATTTTTCAAAAGCCTATAACTTGAGTACTATTTCAGATTGATAAATGAAATTTCACATATAAGTAAAAGATCTAATTCTCTACCTTCTATCAAATTTTGAGTAATTTCCGTTGACCAAAGTACTAATTTACGCTATTTCCGATTTCTCAAAAAAACGCATGTAAATTTATAAAGTACTAATAATATTGCGCACTATTATGCACATTTCATTTAGCGTTCTCTTGGTGTGCAATTCTTTTTTCTACGAGATTTTATTCTATTTTAAAAACTTCAAGTATTTAAAATGGAGTTCCCATCCCCTGTTGTTTTATATAAGAATATTCGAGAAAGTTTAGGGGAGATCACTCCCAGTTTATTTGCAGACATCTTTATTTCTTGCAATTTTTTAATTTATCGCATCGCCATTTTGCAATTTACCAACAGCCCCTATACTGTATAGTAGTATGTATAGTATAGGTTCTGGATTAGGAATTCAGCAACAGAAATAATTTAGCCTAATTAATAAATTATTGAAAATTATAAAATCTAGACACTAGATATAGATCCAGATTCTAGATCTACTTGCCTAACAATTTGATTGGCATCTGAAAAGTTTGATTTTTTTACGTAACAAGGAGATTTTTTATTTTTTATTTGTTGAATTTTAAACTCGAATTCTTTTGCTGCTTGGTCGTTACGAGTGTTAATTGACATCGATTCAACTCCGTGAATTCTTGATCGACATTCAGCATGAAACGCGAATAAAACAGTGAACACAATAACGACGCAGAAGAAAAAGTTAGACATCTTCCTTGTTGACTTCTTTACTTTCTCACTCAGCAACGACGGGTGATCTAAATCTCATCTAAAAGTTAAAGTCATATGATAACGTCATGTGATTAGTAACGTGACAAAGGACAATTATGCCTAAAAATAGATTTGGTCGCAAAATACAGCCGAAAATGTTTCGAAATAAAAATATAATTTGTAATAAATATTGAAGCCTATACATTGGTTTAAAATTAAAATAGATCCTTTCGATAATCTGACGAACCTGTTTTTGTTTTGGTTTTGTACTTCTGCGTGTTATTACTTGTACTTTTTATATAGGCTACTATTACTAGATTATAATAAAAGTGATTTAGTAAAGGCATATTTCGGCTTTTTAATGAACACATTCAATGTTTTCATTTATTTTCTAAACGAGTACCGGCCCTTTGAGGAAACAACAACATTCTAGATGTAGATCTAGATCTAGATTAGAATAGATGCACATTTTACTACACTAGTTATCTAGATCTAAATCTAGATCTAGTAAACATTCTAAACAACAAAGACAAAACCAATTTTAATTTTTCGGGATCTTCCCTACATATATTTTATTAAAGTATTATTAAGTAGGCCCAGGTCTATAGTCTTGATTGTTTGTAGTCTTAAATGTTTAATGTACAGTATTGTACAGTGGTAACAGTGTAGGCCAGGCCTACATCAGTGCAGTGACTAGATCTACAATAATCTACAATCTACATCTTATCCCCTTTTGATTTGATTGTGATCATCATGTGAAGTGAATGATTGAGAATTGAAGTGAATGTAGGCGCCTAATTAAAAAAAATTGTTCAATGTGTGTGTATTCACTGTATTGTCACTATTGTGTGTGTAGTCTAGTCTAAGAGTCTAGTGTATGGATCGGATGGAGTGTATGATGATATTTATATTTAATAATTTAAAATTTAAGTATAAGTTAGTATGTTGAGTATGGTGATACTAATATTACTATGGTGAGCTGACAAATGAGTAGGCCTATTTTTACTATTTTATTTACTAGGCTATATAAATATATTAAATAGCCTATTACTAGGCATATAGCATTACACAGTACATTAGTAAGCCTACATTATTTTATTATAGTTATAAGTTAACTATTACTATTGACTATTACTATAGATACTAGATAGATACTTATAGTCCTATCTATAGGTCTAATTATTTATTTTCTACTATAAAAACCTTGTGCAGTAGTTACCTGAACATTGTTTGTAAACAAGTGTCTGTTTCCCCCAGACTACTGCTATTGTAAAAGTAAAAAGCACATCAGCTTGATGGATGACCAACAACTTCACCTCCCTTCAAGGTTGTAATTGTAATGTGCAATAATCAATCATACTGCTACTTTATATTAATATAAACATTCATGAAACATTCAAATGTCTTATGCCATTATTATTAATTCTTACCACAGTCTTATTTTTAAATTCACTAACAAAACTAGCTATAATTATGAAGATACTATTAACCATAACATACATGTAATTGTACTATTCATATAATTATAATACTGTTTTATGGCACTTAAACTAATTTCAATTTTGTTAACAAGTTCAAAGTAAATGGTTGTTAGTAAGGAAATCATGGTTTTGCTCTGAGTATGCATGTCACTGCATATTTTTAAGTAAAACTGACAAATAGGACTACCTTTAAAAAGTTTAAAATATTTTATTCCAGACTGGTTCATTTGGATTTCAAAGGGGCACCTTTGTGTCTAACCTATATTGAGAAGGTCAGTAATTAAAAATGCTTTTTTATTTAATACCTGGCTTTAGCTCATACATTTTCTTTGTTTAATTCTAAATATATATATATATATATATATATATATATATATATATATATATATATATATATATATATATATATATATATATATATATATATATATATAATATAGGTTTTACCTTTGCTGAAGAAATGGGGTGCTACAGGATTGTTAATTGAATATGAAGACACTTTTCCTTACAATGGAGACTTGAAGTCTTTGGCTGCACCCCATGCTTACAGGTAAAAGGAAAATGATTTTGATAATATTTTAACAAAAATAAAAAAAAAGTATACAGTAGTTTAATTAATAAATATTTTTGTTTTGAACATCTTTAATTATTATAAGTTTGTAACTTTTATTTTAAACTGCAGCAATGACAACATTAAGCATATTTTAAAGCTGGCCTCTGACACTGGTTTGGAAGTTATTCCACTAGTCCAGACTTTTGGACATTTAGAGGTAACCAGTTATTTTGCATGTTCTACATGTTCTGTTTCATCTTAATGACCATTGTGGCTGTAACAAAAAATATACCTGTGTATAAAACATGTAATTCACTCCATGTAAACAGAGATGTTTTGTTTTAGTTTGTTCTGAAACATGAGGAGTTTTCATCCCTGAGAGAAGTGAAGAAATATCCTATGGCCCTTTGCCCATCAAATTCAGGTAACTTTTTAAAATAAACATTTCAGTGTTTTACATTCAAACTGGGGGGAGAAGGGATCATCTTCCTTTTAAAAAAAAAAAAACAGTATTTTCCTAATAAATAATTTTTGACTAATAACATCTCTTTTATTTATCCACTCACAATCAGTAAAAATTTAATGTAATTATTGCTAAAATTTAATATAATTATTGCTTATGATGCAATGATTATTTGAATATTACTGTTCCAGAGGCCCTTCAGTTGGTTTGTAGGATGATAGATCAGGTTATGGCTCTCCATCCTAATATTCAACATTTCCACATGGGCTGTGATGAGGTAAGCTTATGCAATCAGTCGAACAGATTTATATACATCTAATAATAAAACACATCAATAAAAGTTAGAATTGTATTTGTATACTGTGAAATAAGTTTTTCTTATGTGTTGTTTTTCACTTCAGATTTTTTTAACCTTAAAGATTTTGTTATATTTGTATAATGATTGTTTTGACTTCTTCACTTAATAGGTGTATCATCTGGGCATATGCGAAGTGTGCAAGCGAAATATGGTGGATAATTCCTTAGGCAGAGATCAACTATTTTTTTCTCATGTTCGAGAAGTTGCCAGCTATATCAAAAAAATGTATCCAAATGTTACAATTATAATGTGGGATGATATGCTTAGATATTCAGAGCTGCCAATCATTTTAAGTAAGTCATCCCAAAGTTTCATCATTATTATTTAGTGAATCTCATTATTTAAGTAAATAGTTATCAATAAAACTTCAATCCACAATATGTTTTATTCCACATTTTTCTTCTCCAAATTGATATGAAAATTTAAAAACTCAAACAGAATGTACTTTACTCTTATATTTATATAAAGATAGTGTATAATAAAATGGCATAGCTGCTAGAAATATTTGCTTGAATCAAACTAAAATTTAATTATTTACTTACAATTTTAATACATTGTTATCTTATTTGTAGATTGTGGACTTCAAAACTTAGTTGAGCCAATGATTTGGCATTATCTGCCCAAGTTTATGCTGCCTCCTGGTGAGTACACACCTTCAGGATAATGGCCAAATATTGGTTGTAGATTTGATATCTATTTTTGTAAGTTCTTGAACAACCTATCAATTTTTTTTATTAGATATAACAGTTCTATGCAGTTAAGATAAATCTAATAAATAACTTTGTTTCTAGACCTGTGGGAAAATCTGAGTGCAGTCTTCCCCAATATATGGGTCGCAAGCGCTTTCAAGGGCGCAACAGGCCCTAGAGCACCCGTCACTAATATTCGTTACCATTTGGACAACCATGGCACTTGGCTAGATTCTTTGAGGGCAATCAAAAACAAGTTCAAAGAAGTCAAAGGTATTGCCATCACAGGATGGCAAAGGTAGTTAAAATAGATGTTAATTTGTTTAATTATACCAATTCATTTTAAAAAAAAAAAAAGAAATTGTTTTTAATTCTCTTTTAGCTTCTGTAATAATTTGCTTTTTTTTAAAACTTGTAGGTACGATCATTATGCTGTGTTGTGTGAGTTATTTCCTCATGGTCTTCCCTCCCTTGGGCTTTGTTTAAAATTGGTTGAACAAGGTAAGAGGGTGAATTCCAAACTACTCTGTAACATATTTTTTAAATATTAAAGATGTGTATAAAAAATGTTCTCATCCTCAACATTATTTCAGTTTTAGCAAATTAAAAAAAAAATATATATTTTAATATATTTATTGTATATTAAAAAAATGAACTGTGTTTTAGGCACCTCAGGTCAGAATGACACAGAAGAAGTAGCTAAAGATTTGAAATTTTTTACTCCTATTCCAATCAATCCTTACTTAAGGTATTTATATTTAAGATGTAAACAGTAAACATCTTTACAAAATTAAGTATCTTAAACTCATTTAATATTTTATCCATCTCTTTGATCCTTATTGTTTATTAAAGTAATTTTTTTTTAATCTGTTAGTCCAGAGATACCAGTGTGTGAATTTCCAGGCTCTGAAATCTACCAGTTGGCCATTGAGTTTGTTCATGTAGAAGCCGCATGTAGTGAGCTGTTTGTTTTGGATGGGTGAGCTTTATTTTGTGTTTATAATTTTTACTTTATAGAACATAGTAGTGACCTTGACAAAAAGTGGTTTCATGAAAGCTATGTATTGAAAGATAATTAACTTTAAACATAACACATGTTCAGAAAGATTTTAACCCCTTTTTTAACCAACACAGAAAATGTGTTTATTGGGTCAAAAATGATAAAATAGATGGTTACTCTTTAATACTGAAGTGGATGGCATATTAATTATAACTGCTGCCTAATTACCAATAATAAAACAGGCCATATATAGATACAGATAATTAATTGAAAACTTGGTCCAGCAGCAAGCTTGGTCATGTTAGTATTACACTGTAAACAAACACTAAATTAAGGAATTGTTTTTTGTAAACAACAGATGCACTACTTCATCTGTAGTATGGGTTATAAGGTCTGAGCCCATTAATATGAGTGACATATTATCAGATATGTTTAAAAAATGTAAAGCTAACCTTTGGAACATGACATGGCAGATGAAATTGAGTGAATTTGTATTTGAATACTGAGAATAATGTGGTCAGTCCTATGCCAAACTTTCCCTAACTTGTGACAAAGAAGTGTCTGAGCTGTGAATCAAACTTAAGACTCAAGAGGTCGCCATCACGTACTCACTGGGTTAACTGAGTTCTTAATCTTCTCAGCATGGCAGCCTGGATGAACGAGTACAACATGGAGAGGCGGTTTGTCAACCCAGTACATGTTGAGCCAATGTTGGGGAGAGCCATTAGGTAAAATATTTTATTCCTAATCTTTGATATGTTGACTAATTACAACATGGGAGTAAACTAATGTATTACAAAACTCAAGTAATTTTTTGTTGTCTTGTTGGAATGCAAACATATTCTTTATTGATGTTGGTTTAAGAAAAAATATTGCATCAAATCTAAATCATAAATATAATCCATTTTAAGAGCTCTTTTGACAATTAATGCTAGTTATTTATTTTTAAGACTATCCTCTGTATAAACTGTTTTATAATGGTCAAAACAAGTTATAGAATTGTCTAAGTTAAAATTTTCACATATTTGATTTCTGATTTAATGCCCTTATTAGGTTATTTTGTTTTGTGTTATTGTTACTTTAGTTATTTTATTGTAAAAAATTATTCACTACTGATATGAACACAAAATTGCTGTTCCCCAGTATTCTAGACTCTGTCCTGTCTGTTGATGGCAAGGTAAAATCAACATTCAAGTATGTTTTCTTGGAAGGAACAGAGACAGAGTGGCGCTCTTGTTTCATTTTGCCTCTCATAAAACGTCTTGAGACTTTCATCTCTAAAGCACGATCTCTACTGGCTATTAAAGATGATGAAGACAAAGATGAACTAACAGAAATTGATGAAATATAAACTTAATTATCTGTGTTACCAAACTAATGAGGACTAATATTATTCAAAGCTTTAAATATTTTAGAACCTAATTTTGATTATAAAATTAAACAATAGTTTATGTATGTTAACATAGTTTAGCTAAGATTTTTTAATGTCTTTTTGTGGATAAATTAAAATTATGTAAGTTTTTTTTACATAAAATATCTTTAAAATAAATAACCACATATTTGTTTTAATTGTTCAGTTATAGTTAATTTATTATTTTTAGAATTTTAATTAATGTATCATAAGATATCAGTTTAGCACTGGTAACAACAAGAATACATTTAAAGCTCATATTTTTACAAAACATTTATTGTTCAAAATAAAATTGTAACACAAACATTTTTACAAAGTCATATTTTAACAAATACATGTTTTCTTTTTGTTTCAAAATTGATAGCTTCAGTATGTAGAACTACATAAATATTTGCATAAGTTCGGCTTACAGAACATAGTTTTTATAAAAATAACAATTTCTGAACAGAACCTGAAGTTGCCCTGTTGATTAATATAACTTAATCTCAATAACACAAGAGATTATTTCTAGTGAAAGTTTGAGACAAAAGAAACTTAGTTGTAAATTAGCATCACATACCAAAAGAAAATAAGTTAGAGCAAACTCTTAAATAAAATTGTCCTATAATAAAACATTGTTTTAGAAGTAATTTTCATAGATTGCCATTTCAACGTGGTCCCCCCATCTTCTTTTTTTTTATAGATAGTTTATATTTAATTTTATAAAAAATTGTAAATTTTATTAAAAAATTGTATATACACAAGTAAATAGATACCCAAAGGCTTATTTTGAGAATTATTTTAAATGATTTGTAAATAAATGTCATTTTTTTCTTGTTTGTCTCGTATAATATAAAAACTTCAAGATGTTATAGCTTTTATTAAATTAATGTTTTTTGAGTATATAATGTTTGTTAGTTGTTAAATTAAGCTACTTACAACATGCTTGGTTTCTCCTCACTCACTAGAGTAAGGTTAAATTTTAATCTCCTTATAAATATACAGCTGGAAATGTATACAGATAAAATAGTTGCTGTCTATTTTTCCCTAATAATACCTAATAACAGTTATAAAATAATGGTCTAATGCTTATCAAGAAATAAGATTTTAAAGCAGTTGCTTATTTTAAATATTTAAAAGTAATCACTAATGTTAGATCATCTTGAAATGTACAGAAGTAAAATTAACTAACCATCTCATACTGTTAAATGTGTCTTTGTTTTTTTTTTAAAGTTATTTTTAACATTCTTTAATAATAGATGTGTTTTAGTTCTCTGTTCATTGTACAAAAAGTTTTCCTAGGTCCAAATAGTAAAGCTCAGCATTTATTTACATGAATATCGCCATCAGTATTTTCAGCAATAACTTTTTATATTGCTACAATTTTTAAATTTTTTTTTTAGTTTAAAACTACACAACTTTTTGGTTGTAGTCAAAAGCTGATATTATTTTTGTTGATTTTTCTTTATCACAGAATTTAAATGACTGCCTTTAAGCAAAACTGTATAAAAATCTTATTATTTATAATTTAAATAAATATATATATTCAAAGTAAAATGTTACACAAATTATCACAATAATTAAGTAACATATCTAGATGTAAAAGAAAGCTTCTTTCACATGGATACTTGCAGGTTCCACTCTTACACAACAGTTTGGTGCATAGACATAGCAATATGTTTCTGTGTGTCCCACCTGGATGAATAAAAAAAACTATTATTGAAGTTAAAACAATGCTTAGGGAATTTAATTAATCTGTTACTACAAGTAAACAAAAATATAGTCTTGATTAGATTTGACAATTTTTAAAACTAGATTTGGATGTAATACTTTGATTTTGGTGAAAGCAAAATTGCAAATACATAAAAAAAGCCATTAAAAATTTAGTATTTAAAAAAGTAATAATTAAAAACTGAAAGAAAAACTTACAATACAATGATTAGATGAGAAATAGGTTATAGTTAGATTATTTTTGAAGTTTGTGTAAATAAAATAAATTCAACAGAAATGGCAAAAAATTAAAATTAAAATAAAAAACAATCTATAATTATTTTATAGTAATGAGGTGTAAGTAATGGGTGATGCACAACACCTTAAATATATGGTTTTGTTTATATCTCTTGAATGTTTACATTTTTTTAAATTGAAATAAAATTAATATCATAACCAGTGTTTTTGAGCTTTCATTTAAATATGAATACCATTCAGAACTGCTGTTGTTCTTCAATTCAGATTTATAAAATCTGTTTGTATAATTACTAGAAGCTTTTTCTAAAATTCAATTACTAAAAATGCAATAGAGGAAAAAAAGAAAATTCTTCTAATATTAATCTGTACAGAAATATTAGGAATAACAATTCTACATTAAGCACACAAATGGAAGAATAAATTTTAGATTTGTAGTTTACATAGGTGAATTATGAATTACACACTAAAATTATAAAATTAAATATTAGGGCATCTTACATTTTAAATGACTAAATGCTAACAACTACTATTGACAGAATGTAAATAAAAAAGATGGATTTATTCCTAATCCATATGCATTCTTATTTAAATACACAACAGCGTTAATAATTTAAGTATTATTTTTATGGTGTTTTTAATTGAACTTTCTTCTAAAGTTAGAAAGAAAGAAAAATCTACAAATAAAAAGATTTCTAGCGTTCTGCTTCTATACCATATTTTCCTTCATTTGTTGGTTTTCCTGTAAAATTCAAAGTTAATATTTATGCATTTAATTTCCTTCTATTCTGTTAGTAGTTTTGTTTTATAGTTGCTCCTTGCTTAGCATGTTACATTATAAAATTGTGTACATTAAGCTCACAGCTCATTTATTTAACCATCTCAAATGTTCACATAACAAGGCATCCTGTTACCACCTATCAAAATAAAACCATGAACATTTTAAAAAATGAGTAAAATAGCAACAATAAACTTCAGAAGAAAAGTAATTTTAAAAAGTACAATTGGAATTATTTTAAAACATTTACTGTCATCATTTTCTTTTATAATTGTACTGGGGCACAGGGCTCTCCTGACTATAGTTTGAAGACAAGGATCCAGGCACAGTTCGCGCAATAGAATTTTTATCTGCTTCTACTAATTCCTTCACCACAATTGCACTGGCAACACTTGAAAAGCAATGTTTTATTTTTTTATTTTACAGTGTTAGATTGTAAAACTAACTGAAAATATTGAATTAAAATCTACAGCTTTAAAATTATAATTTTTTGTTTGTTGCTTTTCATTATTCTAAATAAAGTGATCTATTGCTTGTGCATCAAATAAATGGGGGCATCTTCTTAGCTGTTTTGTTAGAACAAAAAAAGTCATTAGCATGTAAAAAACTCAATGGATAAAAAAAAGTTAAAAATTTATATATATATAATTCTCTTCTTGGAGATCATAGAAAACACCAAGCTGTAAGCGTGCCTAGCAGCTCCCTCTCTCCCTCTCTAGGCATATCGCTACCACCCCCACCCCCATATGGTCTGGTGAGCTGTGGTTCACGCAAAATGTTTACAATCGTAGAGCTGGGTTTAGTGACGGCTATTAGGGGCAGATAATTTAGTTTGAAACGATTTTAAACTTAGGGGAGGTAACTAAGAGGAGGCTGCTTTAACTGGGGGGGGGGGGGGGGGTGTAGGGTAGGGGTTGGGGAAAAGGGGGGGGGGTATCGTCCTTAACGTACTGATAGTGTTTTTAAGCAAATATTTTCAGTTGTAGCATTGGTACTGTCGAATTCACAAATTATGAATTACTGAAAAAAAGAAAATAAAACAACTAAATAGCGGCTTATTATACACAGCGGGTCGGCTCGGTTATATATATATATTATAGCTACGTATATATATATAAACAGCCAGATAGTGTATCATTCGATCCTTCAGTCAGTCATCTGTATAGTCACTTTGTTTTCATCAGCATGGTGGTGGTTGGGGGGGGGGGGGGGCTTATTTTATGCATGGGAAGGGCTCTCCTTAGGCACAGACACCTGGGGAAGCAATGCTAGTTAGCAGCCCTCATTACACCATGTGGGGAGGAAATCTGGGCTGGCATCCGTGTGAGCATTGTGCCAATTTCGTTAACATAGTGGAGCACAGGTATAAGCTAGTACATATATATATATATATATATATATATATATATATATATATATATATATATATATATATATATATTTTAGAGAGAGAGTTCAAAATTAACATTAATTAGCCAGAAGAACTTTGAGGGTAACAATTTAAAATGTTTATAAATGAAACAATAATAGTTGTCAATAAGGCAGTAAAATAAATAAATATTTAAAAAACCATAATCTGATAAAAAGATTTTACACACAATGTTTTAAACAATCATGCTTGATGTAAAGTATAACTTTATGAACAGAATCAAACAACAGTGAGTAAACATTATTTGTAACAGAATATTTCTTCAATTCAGAGAGGAAATACTTTAGGCAGTTTTGACTGCCTAAATAATTATAAACTAATGGTTATAACAGAAAAAAAAATATGAAAACTAACCACAGAAACTAGAACCAGATAAAACTTGTTTTAAAGGAACACAACAGAGTTAGTTGATTTTTTGTATTATTTTTTAATTATATGTATAATTTTGTAGACATTAGTTAATGTTAAATACATTTAGAAAATTTATGTTTATTTTTGTTATGTTGCATCACAATGTTATTTGATGTATTAATATGTCATGATTTTATTTTGTCTACTAATTAAAATAATTTTTGGTCAACATTTTTATGGTTATGGCATCCTTTGATATGGCAGACAGCTGCATCAGCACAAAGTGAAACTTTACTAAACCATCAGTACTGATTCATTGAAAGTAAGAATAAAAAGTAGAGTTATTCATGCCAGCTTACATTTCTTTCAGCAAATGAGTTCTCTTTTGTGTTGAAACTGCTAATGACACAAAGTTAACAGGAAAGAGTGTCAGAGCCTTACAGCCCACAAAGAACAATGTTAAAGATATGTGTTGAAATGGGGAAGCAATTTTAGTTGGGATTATTTTCTTAAATTAATTCAGGTTGTTTTGATCTTCAGGTTATCTAATGCTGTTGATTTAAATGCACTAAACCAATACATTTGAGGTTACATTTTATAAACAGCACAACACAAAATTATTTTACAAATATTTTCAAAACCAGAAACTTGTGTAGGATTTCTTGTTGAGAACTAGAAATTATAGTTTGAATGTTGCATTGTTAGCGTTGGTCTATTTAAGATTATGATGAGTGGGAAAAAAAATTCTGTTTAGTTAAAAAATTAAAATAAAACTGTTACCTTGGTTTTTTGGAAGTTGGAATAACCTTCTTTTCTTTCCTAATTTGCAGCAATAGATAAGCTGGTTGCAACTTCCTACCCAAAAATGGTGGATTGGTCACTTCTTGTACAATAATAACATATTCTCCTGAGGAAATAAATAGACTTAGCGATCCATTGGGCAGATACAGTAGAGTTCATATGCTTCTGAACATGTGGTCAACACTATGCCCAGCCACATTTTCTTTCCCTAGCACCAGACAGGTATCCTTCATAGCTGGGTAGACTCAGGGATGTCCTACAGTCACAAGTCCGAACCTAGTTCAAAACTCAAGACATTCAGGATAGCAGCCAAAAGCTCTAGCATTTGACCAAGCCATCCCTTTTAAGTTATTAATTAGCTTATATAATATTTTTATCACATTGTATGGGTAAGGGTTAAGGTTTATATATATGTGTTTAGGCTAGCTTAGAAGTATAGTGGTTATTTGGTTTTGGTCATAAATCATCAGAGGGTACATTTTAAAATATAGATATATGTCAACATATAGACTAGAGATGTACATGGCTACAATAAAAAAAAGTATTGGCTGGGTTTAGTGAGTTTAAATATTTCAGAATAAGCTCACAAAATCTATCAAGTAATTTCAATATTCCTTCTATCCATCTTTGTACACAAAGCCAAAATAGGTTTATATTTAGGGTTCAGTTTTAGCATCCATTTGTAGGACTTAGGTATTTGTTCAACATATAGATAGTTGACATTGTTTATGTGAGTGTTCTCACTGCAGGGTCTTTGACTAAATTACTATTTGGTGCGGTCTGGTTGTAAAGTGTAGGGCTAGATTTAGGATCTTGGCTAATTGATTTAGGGCCTATGTTGAGTGACATGATAAAGGGTTATGATGTTCATCATCAATGACCATGATGTAGGATGTAGTGCAAAACTCTGATAACTAGTCCCTGTGTTCAATCTTGCTAGCTTGCGTGTGATCTAGATTAGTATAGTTTAAAATAAGTTTGTGAAGATTTAGTTATGTGAGGACCCCTATAGGTAAATGCATGCAGGACCAATCTGCTTTGAAATAATAAGGCAACTGTTAGAGACCATGGCCATATATAACCAAGAGTGGGCTGGCAGTGGTTTATTTATTCTAAGATGTGTCAATCAGAAGAATATTACCTTCACGGGCAATCTTTTCTTCTGGCCATGCTTCCTTTTCAAGTGCATTTGAACTTGGTAACTGTGAGATTTTTTTGTCTGAAAATTAACAGATAAAGCAAGGAGATGATCATTAAGGACTAGGATTATGAATGTTTATCTTTAACACCTACATCATAAATCAAACATGCAGTTTATAAATATAGATAGTTAGACTTAAAAGTGAAAAGCATTTGGCTTTTGGTATTTTACAGTAATTAGAAATTTCAAATACATTTGTGCTTTCATGTTGAGTTATTCTTTATTGAAAATAAATAGAGAAAACCATGAAAAAAATTAAGACCAATTACAAATAGTGACCTTAAAATAAAAAACAATAATATTGATGAATTCAGAAACTTTAAAATATGATAATAAAAAGGCTTAGAGTTATTTTTTAAAGTTTTGTAAAATCATATTATTAATATGTATGTGATAATTAATATTCAAACTATCTTGCAGATGAGATAAATCAAAGTTCTAAATGTTATGTCTATCTTTTATGCACTAAAATGAAACTTAATTTGTTGCTTAGAGTGAATGAAGATTTTTTTGAAATTTCAAAAGAAATGTAACAATAAACAGTAGTTTTAAAAAAGGCAATTAACAAAATTATTTAAAAAGAATCATAATAATTCAGAATAGAACTGCTCTAGTAAATGTATACCATTTAAACTTAATGAAGGGGTTTCATGTTTACTGACTGATGCAGCTAGAGCAGGGGAGGAGTGAGCACTCTGAGCATTGGTTACTTGTTTATCTGTTTTGAATTTGTCATCTGACTCATCATAGTCAATATTATAATCAGCTGCAACAGTTTTGACATATGAATACAATTTTAAATCAGGAAAAAACTATTTTTGAAATAAATTTAGTTTTGAATAAAAATGTAACTGGAAACATATCTGAACTAGACAAAGAAAAAGGCAGTAATTAGTAATTATTTTTAAAGTATAATAAGAATCACTATAAAATGTAGTATTCTACATTATCATGCAAGACTAAGCTAAAATTTATTTCAAGCCAACATTCTCCATAAATTACTTGAAGTTAATGCTGGGCACTAAATTATAAAATATGACATTGTGTTAAAGGATGATTTAAAAGTACACTAATATTAAAAAACAAATAATGTATATGATAACAATAAATAAATAAATTCTTAAACTGTGTCATACTCAGATGCTTTATAAGAGTAAGTTAAATATTTAGGGTGTTTGACATGAAAGGTGCCCTTAGTTTTCAATGATTCATTGATTTTTAACATCTTGCAATATACATTTTTTTAAAAGTAATTGGTGGCATTAAAAAAAAATTAAAAGAATGTTCACTTCAGATGTTTCTACTTAAGTTGGGCACATCAGTGTGGTGTTGTTTTGCCCCAGTTAGCCAGAATATGGAAAGTTGTTTAAAAAAACATTTATAATTAATGGTGTAAAATAAAAACTGTAGATTCAGTGCACAATAAATTGTCACATGAATAACTTCAAATGAGTCTATTTGAAAATTATTTTGCAAAATCTCTTAATAAAGGTGTGAAAGAAGTGAAAATAAATTAAAAAAACAACTCAGTAGAAAATATAAAATATTATAAAAAATCCTGTAATATAATTCTGAATTATTTTGTGTACATAGGTGAGAATAAAACAACAAGTAAATAATATTTTACAAAAATTTCACCTTCATTATCATCAGGCCCTTCTAAAAGTAAAAATTTAAAGGAAATATAAGACTAAATTAAAAACACTTAATTTTCTTACACTAGATTTTAAAACGTTAGCATTAAAATCTTTAATTATCAATTGTTGCTATTAATAAATTAATTAAAAAGTATTTTAACACTCTTATCGTTATTTTTAATAAAATAAACAATCAGCTGTTCTAACATGAAAAAAATTCAAAATCAAATCATTGTCAGTAAAACTGAGTGATAAAAACTTTAAACTTTGTGTGGAACAGTTCAAAACAAACTTACCTTCATCTGCAATACATAGAGTGGTTTATTTTAGTTCAGGACACATTTAAGGGGAAAGAAGACATAAAATCAAAGTAGAAATAAAATAATATAAAACCAATTAATGTATTAATTTAGCAAGTTATCCTTGATATATTATTATTATGTAAGTATTTATAAAAAAGTTTTGGTGGTTAGGTGTTTTACCAGCCCAACACAGAAAAATAAACAAAAACTTTTTAACATATTATTCAATACATTGAAGAACAAAATATTTCAGAATCATTTTTGATAAACATAAATTCCCACAGAATAAAAACAAATAATACATTCATACTTGATTGACGAAAGGGATCTTACAAAAATCTACCAAAAAACCATTCTTAATAAAATGATAAAGCTGAGCAGATTAAAACACAACAAACCTATTTTATCCTTAGAAAGTTTGGATTTTTTCTTTGATAATTCCTCTTCCCTCATGATGACAAATGGCCTGTACATAGGTGGGGGTGGGGCTAGCTGCAGATTGTTCCACTGACAGGCTCCATTTAGTGTGGCCTGTTGGACAACCTGAGGTGCCAGTGATGTCACTTCTTCTGGCTTATTGTCTTTAGAATATTGAACACATTATTATGGGATGCATTATTTTATTTCAACTTAAAAAATAAAGGAGAAATTATGATTACTGAAATTGTGAAAAGCCTGTAAAATAAAATTATTTAAAAAAAATTATTTTACTCAGTAGCCTAGACTTATTAAATATAGTTATCACATCTCTGTGTTTAATGATTAATCACATCTCTCCCCCCCCCCCCCCATCAATGTCAACCTCCTAATCCTTACACAATAGTTTTTTAAAGACGGACATGGTACCTATATTATAAAAGTCTTCATCAGATAATGGCCTAAATTTCAATTTGGAGCCACCAGATAATCATTTATAGGACAGCCTCTGTCACTACTAAAAAGTGCTGGCATCATTTTATTTTCCTCAAACAAGACATGGTCGAGGGGTCACAGCAAGTTCCCACAAACTACACCTAAAGCATGTGTCATAGCATGAGATTGAGAGTGAAGTTACTTTTGTTTTCCATACACTTTGCAGCAACAAAAATGTACTTGGGGTCATAATGAGGGTGGGTAAGTCTAGTCCTAACTGCAACCTTTTTGCTAATTTTTCAAATTTGATGGAAAGCAGTGGAATTGTAAAGGGAGTAAACTAACACCAGCAGTTTACAAACAGAATCTTAATTAAAAGTACGGATAGATAAATGATATCTAGATTACCAAGCAGCGGGGATAAACAATATAGGAGCAGGGCTCAGGTGATGTGCTTTTCTTTTATAGAACAAGACCATTTTGAAAATACCTTTTTTAATGTATAAAAGGAAAATATTAGAAAAACATTGTGGACTAAAATTTCAAATTTCAGAAAAGTCACTTCTCTGTCCCTTACCTTCATCTGCTGCTGATATTTCACTGTTGCTTTGTTCTACAAGAGTGGGATCCTCTTCACCCATAGATATAAGGGAAGTACGTGTGGTGCTAAGCATTGTATCTGATATTGGTTTACTCTCTTGTTCAGTATTCAGAGTTGCATTTTCACTAAGACCTGACAAAATGAACGTGAGTGATGAATATTAGATTCCTGAAATTTTGCGCTTATATTATCAAGTGGATAAAGTTTTAATAATATTTAAAGTTTGAGATTAAAAAATAATAATTTTTTTTATGTAGCTGTATAATTCTTTTAGTACCTTCTGCTTTGGAGGTTTTATCTTTTGAGTTATCAGAATATGAATCTACTGCTGGTAGTTGGTCTGTTAGTGGTAAGGCACAACATCATAACTGAAACATGACAATTTAATGTGAGTACAAACTTTCAGATGTTTTAACTGAATATACATTTTTGCTGCATTATAAAAGGTGTTTAAAAAAATTATATTTGGTTTCTAATTAGACCACCATTCTCAGTTGATTAATATTACATTAGATTAAATGACTTTAATCCATTGTATTGTTTTCATTTAAAAACATTTCTTACAGCTAAAATTTATATGGTTAATTTTTTAGCACTATTTAATGGCAGAAATCTTCAACTTCTAAAACCTGATAATTTAAAAGCAACTTCTTAGCTTACAAAGGTGTTTGAATAGGTTTGTCTTCAAAATCTTCAATAATATCAAACAATGCAGATCCGTCTTTGGGAGCTCTGTACTTGAAACCAGCAATCACTTGAATTTCTCTTCCATGATCTGTAAACATTTGCAATCATGATTTTTTTTAAACACACACACATAATATACAAGTAATTCTACTGGACTGGAATGTTCTCATATTTTAATATATATATATAATTCTTTTCGTAGAGACATTAGAAAACACCATGCAGCTTAGCCACCACCCTCATCCCCACCTGTCAGGTGAGCTGTGGTTCACCCTGAATGTTTACAATATTAGAGCCGGGTTAGTGATGGCTATTAGGGGCAGATAAATTAGTATTAAAAGATTTGAAATGAAGGGGTGGT